CAGGATATATATGAAACATTAAAAGTTATGGCACATCCTCTAACTGGCCTTGCAATTTCTTATACCTCTTCAATACATCTTTCAGCAGCCCAACAACACAGATTAAGGAGTCTTAACAGGAAATTTGCAATTTTGAAGTCCTGGAATTTATATACAACAGAAGAATGAGTTTCCCTTCACTTTATATTCCTTATGTACACCCTAGTCTTGGTTCAATGGCTAGTTACTCATGCTTTGGGCTCCTGGTCTAAAAGTATTAGGGAAATACAAATACTTAGTAGTCTACAACAAGAATATTGAATGACAACTATTTTCTTTTGCCATTGCCTCCAAACGTTTCTTAACATCTTAAACATTTGAGCACCTACTGCATGTCCTAAGATGTCTTATTAGGCAGTGATGATGCTAGAAAGGCTTCAAAGGCCATCCTCTCAGGAAAATCTGTTTAATTTTCTCTTTGGAGTTGTTGTTGACTCGTGGTTAACAGGAGTATTTTGCTTGTTTTATTGGTTGCTGTGTCTTCTAAGCACCCAGGTGCTGTGGTCAGTAAAAAAAAATGCCTTCCCTTTTTCAACTTGCATCCATTTATCCAAATTTTATCTTTTCTTCAAAGTCTATTTTTACTAACAGTTTCTCACTTCAACTGGTCTACCCTGCTTTCCAAACCCTGCCCTCTTATAGCACCTAATCATATATTAATAATTCTGTACTATTTCACTTAATGAGTATTTTGTTCAATAAGAATGTCAACTTCTTGATGGCAGGGACCAAAAACTGTGGTGCAACAGAAATAGAAGAAACACAAATATTAGATCTAAAGTCTTAACTTGGACTTGGACAAATCACTACATCTCTCTGGCAATCAATTTTCTCATTGGTAAAATAGCTCGTATCAATTATTACCGAAAGGCCCCTGTTGTCCTAAAGTACTTTAATTTTTAAGTTTCCTTTCTTCTACCATGCCGAGCACAGCATTAGAAACATAGTAAGCAGTTAATACATTAAAATATCCTTAATTCTACTGCTAACTCTGATGTGCTTAATATGTTCTCTATGATTCACTTAGTCTTTCAGCTTGCAAAAACACCTTTTTGTTCCAATAAACACATTATTTAAATGCCTTCTACTATAGACAACAAAGAGTGCTAGGTAATGGAGATACAGAAATATGTGATAGAGGCTCTCCTACCAAAAAGCTCAAAACTGCTAAGAATGAGGATGAATCAAAGAGAGAGGTCCAAATAAAATGCCTGAGAAATCTAAGGGGGAGACAGGAAGTGACATTCAAGTACAACTGACAAGTATTTATCACTCACCTACTATGTGCGAGGCATTGGAGATAGAGAAAATAGTCATCCCTGCCCTCAAGGAGCTCACATTCTATCAGGGAGAGACAATATGTACATATAAGTACATATGAAACAAATACATTATAATTTTGGAAAGGGATTAGTAGGGGAAGGAAGTGTGAATCAGGAAAAAAGAATTCGAAGAGGCAGAGGTGAGGAGGAAGATGTACAGAGCACTTCAGACACTAGAAAAAGCCTGTGCAAAAGCTATGAAAGGCTACATCACAAAAAGAATGTGTTTGATTACCCAGCACAATGGAAAAAATTGAGTATTTCCTTTCCACTTAGAATTTTACTCTAATCACAGTGAAAAAGGAGTTTTGTTTCTACAGGATTCATTCACAAGATAAAGCTTTCTTTGTGCCCACTAAAGCATTAAATTAGTAGACTAATTATATTTTTGCAACTTAGCAATTTATTTTTTAGTTCTTTATTCTTCAGATTGATACATTATCCTCAGTCCATCATTTTTTGTAACTACTAAAGAACTAAGGCATGTATGCTGCAGACAATAAAATACAAGGACTGTGAGAGAATAAGTTTCATTAGTTTTATTTTAAAATATCCACTCCCTAAATTATAAAGGACGTATATATTGCTAGACATGCTGCATCATTTTATAAAGTAGTAATTTTAGCTAGAATAGGTTTAATTTTAATTAAAACAATATTTTCATAAAAATGTTTGAGGGAAACTCCATTACCATTAATATTTTATTTTTAAACTTTGGGCTACCTTTTAAATAATTTTTAAGTATCCCAGGTATTAAAATTTGAAATAATTTACTCTGTAATTTTCCAACCAATTTGCTTACCAGATCACAAAAAGTTAATTATAAAAAGGTATTTTAATGAAGAAAAATTTAGACAAATTTTAAAAGTGCAATTCATATCAGTCAAGATGGCACATTATTACATTTTATTAAATTGAAAAAAAAATTGATCAGTTTTTCAGTGGTAATCCAAATATTAAAAGCCTGGCTTCACAGCATCTGCTTTGAATAGTAAATATGGTTAGAGCTATCCTATAATCATATCTGTAATGAAGAATAATGACCATGATAATGAGCAAAAGAAAACATTGATCAAATGTTATTTGAGTAGTAAATAATGGGAGGGAGACAGAATACCTAAAAATGATAAGACCAAATAAAAATGTTTGGTAAATTGAAATAGAAATTAAATGATTAAAAAAAAGCCTATTCGGAAACTTGCATGCCTAAGTAGAACTCCAGCCTCTCTCTCTATCCTGTGAAATTACTGGAATGTAACCCCTTTTTGATGTTATTGTCTTTTAGGTTTGAAGAAGGTGCTTCACCATTTAGGAGACCAATGTATAATCTGATTCTACCTCCCTGGAAAAGCTATATCTAGATAACAAAGATGAAATAGAATTCAAAACAATCATACCTTTTGTGGATGAACAAATTCAACTTAAGCCATTTGTAGTGTTTATTTACTCATTTCCTTTTCTAGTCACTGAAATCATAGCAAAGATTACAGTAATTCTTTATGTTAACAGAGTTCTAGAATCATGGAACTTAGTTCTCTTTTAAATACTGCTAAAAGCATTAATGCAAATTAAAAGTTAAAATGTGCAATCTTTATTCTGACACATTCAGATACATTAAAAATTATCGTTTCAGTAAATAAAACCGCAGCATTTTAGCTGCAACTGGCTTTTGAGGATAAAGCACATGCACCTGTTCCAGTTGGTTTATTGCACATCATTAATTACAGTAATATCATATATTATTCTCCATTCACATGTGTACTGGGAATATTCATTTCCCACCACCATATACATTTTCCATAAACAAAACTCTAAATGTTTCACATAAGTTGCTATAACACAAATCACAAAATATATTTGGTAATATGAAATAATTAATTGTAGCACTTTTTAGGTGTAAGTTAACTTTTGCCCTGGGAGTTGAATTTTTTCCCCACAGAAGAACAGTCAGCAATGAGGAATCAATAGTGTGAACACTGCTGCACATACCACCCACCACTATTTAATGAACTTTTTCATTGGCAATTAGTGCAGCAGAAACATAGAAAAGAGAGCACTGTGCTTAGGTTAACCAGTTTGATTCAGCATTGAGTACCAAGTAGGTATATGGTTTTGTTAACAATACCATCCTGATAACAAGCATTTTGACATGAAACAGAAGCATGCTAGGTAAAATGTCAAATGTGTGCACCATAGGAATGTTTTAAAAATTGTTCCATGGTGTTATACAGAATTGATTATATCCAGTTAACAAAATTTCCATTTCAAAATGAAAGCTTTTATTAATTGTGGTAAGAGAAAATTAGCATATTTTTACGTGATCCCTCAAAGTTGGCTACATATATGCTGAAACAGACATTTGATAAAACACTCTACAAAAGTCCAAAAAAGTTCATAGGGCAGCTTACTGAAAGCTTAATGTTTTTAATGTGAAACACTCAGTATATTTTGCTCTATTAAAATGGTAACTAACTGTTTTTGGAATTGTGTAATCAGACAATGAAAGCCCACTAAACGTAATACTGCTGAATTATAAAATATTCATATTAAGAAGAGTTCTGCTAAAGAAATTATTTTTGGTATGCTACAAAGCAGATAAATCTATCATCATTCAGTGCACTAGAAAAGTAATTAAAAACTATTTAAAAACTGATTATAAATAGTATATATACAAATTTTGGTTTCATGCACAGATAGTTTAAATTACCTATTTTTAAACTACTGTAAGTCAAGCTGCTGCACTGTAACATATATGAATATCTAGAGTCACTCTACATATTTCCTCACATTTGTCTGTCGTAAGAAAAAAACAAAAATTCATTTCTAATTAGGCATATTAAATAAGCTTCTTAGCTCAAAGTTCAGAGTTTCCAGGTGACTTGTCAAATTGATAACTGATGTTTTCATCACCATTAATATTACCTTAAATTGTCAGTTTTTTGACCTTCTATTTCTATCCTACGCTGCCTTCCCCCCCCCACTTTTTTTTGGTGTGAGGCAACCAGGGTTAAGTGACTTGCCCAGGGTCACACAGCTAGTAAGTGTCAAGTGCCTGAGGTCACATTTGAACTCAGGTCCTCCTGATTCCAGGGCCAGTACTCTATCCATTGTGCTACCTAGCTGCCCCAGCCCCAGCTGACTTTTTAAAAAATGAGATTTGAAAGTGCCCTTTAGAGTTTTCCCCACAAAAACGTTTACAACAAATGTTGCCAGAGTTTTGCCTTAGAAGTTGAGATTTCTGACAATATAGCAATCTCTTGCCAGGAAGGAACAGCAAAACTCAGTCACAGGGAATCAGTGCTGCTGCACCTATAAACCAGCTCTATCACAGTAATTACATCTTAAGTACCATTAGCTGAAGGTGAGATGAGACTGCTTGAGGGTTCCAGAGTATGCATATATTAAGTGCATGGAAACCCTTGAAAGTAAGTGACAAGGTACCACCACAGAGAATGAACTTGTAAATCAAGTTTTATAACTAAATTTCCAGAAACAATGTTTGAGGGAAGAAAAGGACATCACGATCTTTTATAAGCAGCAGCAAATTATAGCTGTGTTGTATAATTGCCATTACAACCAGTTAAAAAGTAAAAACCCCAATGAATTAATGTCTCTTTTATAATTAACTAATATAAAATATAAACACATAAATTTCTTTTATTAAAGAACGCTGATGTGTGACTGATCCAATAGGCTGTTTTAGCCATAGAGACACTGCCTACCTATTCCATCGATCCAGGCTACCTACTCCCTAAACACTTCCCCCAACCTCCTCCCAGGCCAAAAAAAATCCTTTTTGGAACTCGAGAGGTTAATTAATTACAAACCGCAGAAATAAATCTGCTTTTACAAATGCAATTATTCACCTTTAGAATTTTATCATCTAGAAAAATACAATGTTTTCACAGAAAAGGAAAGCGACCAGTATCTGTGAAATAAAATGATGCACATGAAAAACTATTTGGTTAACAGGTGGTCTCTTTGCATGTAACAGAAAATTTTATGTTCATAAACCTAAGTGGCTTTAACAAGGTTGCAACTTGGATAAACATTAAAGTAGTCACAATTCTTACAATTCTTAAAATCTGCACACAGACAATTCACCAAATGCAACTTTTAAGTGCTAATTTTCCCCCACTTCCATGTTTTAATCAATTATCTAAAGGTGTAGGGGGGTGGGGGTAGGGAGGGATATGGAAGGGCAAAGAAAACATGAGGTAACACCAATAGTGGTGTCTAAAAGGTTGTTTGCTGTTTTTATGTCTGTCAATCACCTCATGAGAAACAGTCAATTTAACCTTTGGCTTTGCCTAGGTCGTAGTCCCCTGAGCTAATAATGACGTAACTATAACCATAACAGTAAAAGTTTAACACTGCTTAAGCTTTACAAAGGAAAAATGTCAAATCAACTTTTTACAAGTATTAGGAAAATTGTAAGAAATAACCAGATTCTTTGCCTTTTAGTATAGACCATGAAAATTACCTGCTTCTTATGGAAAAGCTAGAGAAAATGGTTCAACAAAGAATCAAACTGGTTTCTCTTGGTATATCATCACACTGAGCCTCTTTGCTCTTTTGCTGTGAGCAGACAGTGATTATTTTGGAGGAGGAAAAATAAGAAAGTGTGGAATTAGTAATGCAGATGCTGAAAGGCAAGTGGCAAGACTCTACAAGAAGAATGCCTCCAGTAGATACTCCTTTGTTCCCATCTCTACTGGCATCTACCCCCAAGGGAAAAGGCCAGAATAACCAAAGCCAACTTAACAGTAGTGTGCAGAATTGTCAGCTGACAAACAACATAAAAAACAAGTCACGCTGTGTTATCTGTGGTCACGTTCTTCAGGGTTAGTCCAGTAACTCAAGACTTTACATTCTTCTGTCTTTATTTATTTATTGATTTTAATTAAACATGGATAGGTTAATAAACAGACATAGTCCAGAGTTAGTAGGTTGGTATTATAACATTTATTAAAATAATGCTATGGGTTAATAGAAACAGCAAAGAACCAAAGAATTAAAATGCAAGCTATGTAAAATCCCAACTAAAACCCGAATGTGTCTAATGTATTCATTCAGTAGCTAACTAAAAGCCCAAGAAAGACAACACTCTCAATATAATAAAGTACTGCAAAACAATTGGCAATTTTCAGTTATCAAAATTGTGGGTTTTGCATTTTGTATCCTTTTCTCAATCAGGAAAAAAATTCTTTTTGAATGTTATATAACATACATATAAAACAAGATAGAAAAATACATTATAAACTTGTAACAATGGCTGTAAATACATTATCTTACATGTTTCTCATAGGCAATAGGTTGGTTATGGTACATACATAGCATGAAACTACTAAGATAATAAAGAATAGACAAAATACATGTCAGCTGTATGGTAGCATACAAGCGACACTCCCATCTACCCACTCTAAAAAAAAATTACATAATACTGTCAGAAAAAAAGTCTTAAAACTACATATTTTAATAAGAAATAAATTCAATAAAGAATGATAATACTGAGAACCAAGGCATTCAGAGATTTCAAAAGTCATGCTTTTTTTTTAAGTTGATCTAAAATTTCATCAACTAAGTTTTGAAAAGTTTGTTTAGAGCAAACGTTACTCATAAATGTCACACATGTATTTCATACACTTATTTTCTTCCCAATAAAAGACCTTTGATAAACATCTAAAATGTCCAGGTTTATCATAGTTGAGATGAAACTGGAACAAATACTGGTATCATTTTAGCAAATCTCTCCTCAAATGTTTTGAGTGTCGCGAGTTTATTCAACCAACCAAAATAAAAATCAAAATGGCACAGCATATATTGTAAGGAAATCAAAACATTGCATATGTAACAGGAAGACAAAGCAGTGGCACATTAAACAAAAACTAGCTGAATATAAAGGGATGAATGTCTATTGCATAGTAAATAAACTGAAAATCATTTCCAAGTGAGACAAGGTGATAGATGAGGTCACCATGCAGGTGCTTACTGAGCTTTACTGCTGACCTTTGACTTCAAAGCTGTGAAGGTATGTAAGAGGGAATGAGTTGATAAGTTGGGGAACACAATGTCACTTGATAAATTTGCCATGTCTGGTACTGAGTTGTTAAAAAAAAATGAATAATCATGCAAGTATTTAGAAATCAGCTTTGTGCACAAATTGCTTCAACTATCACACAAGGCCAACTGTTTCAACTTCACATGAATTAGGAAGCTTAAACGGATACATAGTTGAGCCTTTATATGCAAATTAATGCTAATTTCTAACATTCTTTTAAAAGTCAAAAGCAAAGGAAGTTAGAACTAATGAAAAAGTTGTATCATAGAAATTATCTGACATGGCAGGTAGAAGTTCTATAAAATTTTGTATAAGTTTTAAGTAACTTTTAGACTAAAAATTGGTAAAATTCACAAATCTTTATTATGTGAAATTAGTGAAGTCTTTTATAGGTCACTACTATTCAATCAATAAGAATATAAGTCATCCCCTTAAAACAAAACAGCGCTCTATTTACTTTTTTTAATTTGATAGTGAGAAAGAATAACACAGTTTTTGTCTCAGATCCTTTGAATTTGAGTTGAGCAAGTGCATGAAACAAAAATACTTATGATTTTAAAAGAATGAAAATGTTTTAAAAATGAATGAGCAGTCTGGCATAAGATAGAAAAGTTATCAAATTTTTTTTTTTCACAGTATCAGATTTGGCAAATTTGCATCAAGGTAACATAGCAAATATCTTCTAATTCAAACCATCAACTCATGTGTCTTCCCTGCCCCCCCTCCTCTTTCCTCACACACTGGGCGGAGCGGCATGCATTCACTTCTCTCAGAGGGAGGAGCTGATTTTACGAGACACTTGACTAAATGACCATGAAGGAAAATAAGGCACTTTCTTTTCTTTAGACTTATTCCAATACTTAAAAAATAAAAAAGAAAGACAAAAAGGCTCTTTTGGTCTTTTGTTTCTTGACAACCACCAGAAAAAAATCATTTAATGAAATAAAGGGTTTCTTTGTTCTTTTTTTCTTTTTTTTTATAACACTTGAAAGTATAAAATGCTACATTTCCAAAAATATATATTTTTTTCTGCACCAGCACCCTTGTATAGTAAAAGTATCTACTTTTTTTGTTCATTTGTTTCAATGCACTACACTTTTATCTACAATTTCATTACATGTATACAGCAAATAGGCAAGCATGGCTTTTACATCCTTAATGATTTTTCTATACAGGGAGGTTTAAAAAAAATATTTGAACAGTTTGCCCAGTAATGTGACACATAATGCATGTACCTTGTTCTCATATAATCTTTTAAGGAGGTGTAAAATACAGGCTCGATAATTTTAACTCAGATTTTTTTTTTCTTTTTTAAAAAATAGTGTTGCAGTTTTGTTCTTTGCATTAGTTTTCAAAATTCCTTGTTAATTTTTCTTTCATGGCACACTTTCTTTTACTACATCAAATTTGGCAAGCAATATAAAAAAAGGCTGCAACTTCTGCCCTTTGAGGGCACTGTAGTGACTAAACAGCATGTCAAATTTTGAATACTTTTTGAAATCACTTCACCAATGACATCCCTGACCAAAGGTTCATGCATGATGCATCATCGCACAGTACATTCAGAGAGAGAGAGGGAGAGAGAGAGAGCTTTGACTTCCCTATGAGAAGAAAAGGATTCCTAGAAGTCTCTCACAGTAACTGCCTCTGTCATCGGGTAGTTAAGGGCCATTTGTTGTCATTTCTTAAGAGAGGCCTTCTTACCGTTCGTTTAGGGCGGAACGCTAAAGGATGATCAGTGCTGAGGGATGGATTGGACCTTATTGCTTTACTACTATTCAGTGCAGGTTCTACAACCACTTTCACCCAAACAGGGGGGAAAAAAGCGGAGTTGGAGGACAACAATTTCTTTGTCTTTTGTTTGGTTAGATGGTAAGACGAACGGACAAGTGCCTCAGCTCGCTGCACTGATGACAGGCAAGCAAAGGCGATTACCAGTTAACTGATCAGCAGGCAGGCATGGTCAGGTCATCATTGGGTGAAGAGTTCAGAGGTCAGAAGGTCATAGGTTAGTTGCCGGTGGCGGCTGGGTGGTTAGAAACAAAAAACAAAACAAAAAAAAGAAAGAAAGATAGAGAAGAGATTAGTTTCAGCTAGTGACGGCTTAATGACAACATGAAAAACTAATCACAACTAATTAAAAAAAAAAAAACAAGCATGTTTAATTCTGACAAACTGATCGACACCATCTACAGAATGCAATAAAATCATGACCATCTTATATCATGATTTGAACATATGAAGGAGAGCCCACTCCCACAAAACTGGTTAACAGGAGAAAATAGAAATAAAATACAACTAACAACTAATGGTTAGTAGCAGTCAATGAAGGAAATTGAAAAACAAAAACAATGAATAGGTTTTGGAACTTGGTAAAAGAATTTTGAAACAGTCAGTGCAGTTATCAGTGTCTGACTGCTATTAAGCATTAGTACTTTCCCAGGTGCAAGCATTAAAGCGACTATTAATGATGGATGTGATTATTAATAACTGGTGGTTAAAAGAAATGAATTTAAAGAATTTAAAATTTCTATAAACATTTTAAACATAAACTCTGGGCCAAACAAGGTTTCTTTTGTTCAATAAAATTTTTATTGCTTTTCAATTATTCTATTTACAAACAACATGGAAATCCTTGGCCTCATGATACAAAGCAGTACTAAACTGTAGTCTAGCAGTGTAGCATCATCATGGGAACCAGGAAAAGGCCAAGCCTTGTGCTCAAGCCAGTTCTTTCCAGTTGAAAATACTATTTTACACATATAGAACACTTATAAAATGCACTTGCATGTAAACACTGTAAAGTCCTGCCATTTAAAATTCTATACTTAAAAAGCTCTAGATACATCAAAAAATAGAGAAAATTTCTAATTGATACTAATATGGCATTTTAAAACTACAAACAGCTCTCTTTATTCAATTTCAAAGCTAATACTCTGCAAATACAATAGAATCTGACATTTCATATACATTCCTGCTTTATATTTTTATATTTTAAAAGAAGCCACCTGTAAATACTATTTTCTTTTGCAAAATAACAAAACAAAAACAAAATTACAGTAAAACATAAAAAAATTCTCAAGTGGAAAAGTTATCATTCCCAATGTCCTTTAGTTCTTCCTTCCTTAATCATCCTCTATCACATTCTGCTTCAACAAACTTGGTCCACTTTAACAGTAGTATGATTTTATTTTAAGACTTATTCAACAGCTTAATTAAAATCTAACAAATTCTGAGGTTTGATAGAGTATTTTGTACTGTTGCCATTATGACTAAGGCAGAGGAGATGAAAGTGAGAAATATATTCAGTGCAAAGTCAGATCTGTGCCATTTTATAAAATGAAATCCAGTAGGTATAATGTTCACAGATAACAAGAGTTTAAATGACCTAAATAATGGGCTGATTTACCTTCATATAATTAAAATGGTTTCTATGGTCTACCATTTAGGATACAATTTATAAACATTAAAATCATTATGCTAACTTCAATGTGACCACATCTTCCCTGAAGTTCTTCAAAATTCTGTTACTTGGGATTTTGTTTAAATTAAAAACGGCTGTTCCAAGAACAAAGAAAAAATAAATATTTAACGTGGCACAATTTTACCACTTTACAGAGATTCTAGAAATACAGAATCTTAAAGCATTGCTTGATACAGATTATAATTTTGATTAAATGGTATTACATTTTATATAAATTAAGAGAATGAAAATTTCTGCAAAAACATCAGAAAGTTCTTGGCATTATATTTTGTGGAGTATATAACCAAAACAAGCTACCAATTAATGACACCAGTACACCTGGGATACATCCTCTGCCAAGTCCCTGGCCTTCTACAGTACACACAGGTTTATCAAGTGTGCAACACCATTTACAATTCATTACAATTAAAAGTCAGTCGGCCTGTTACAGGAATCAAATTCAGTTTTGTTTTATTTATAGTTGGGTCTTATTCTTAGTAAAATTGTACTAGTCAAACCTCCACTAATTCCAAAAGGCATGCTTATAAGGATAATACAGTTTGACATGTCCAAGGGCTGAGTTTCTTTGCATTATATGTAATGCTTATACTACACCTCTAAACCTATACATTGGATTAAAAACAAAAGAACAAAAAAAAACCAAACAATCCAGTAGTATCATAAAATAATTTGAGTTATTTTAGATATAATCCTTAGACCCAATGACTGACATGTTTGTAGTGAGTGACACAACAGTGGTGTACAAGTATTGCTATTAAATATTAGTATTTCGGTTTGCTGACATTGCATTGTGAATTAAATCAGTAACAAAACTAATCAACACATATATAATTACAAAACAGCTATACATGGAATGTATTGACAATTCCCAAATAACATTGTAATTTTCCTTTAATCTGCTCATTAACCACCTCTAGGTTCAGGAATATCATGTATGCCAGCACTGTTTCAAAATACAAGTATAAGAAAAAAAATTTGGAAATAGTGTTCTTACAGTTGAAAAACTATTTTAAAAAATATTTTATATGCTACATGAAATGTTTCCTAACAATAAGAATAAAGCTCCAAAACAGTCAAACTATCTATTTTCTTTGAAGAGAAAAATAAAGGTCACACTATGTTTTTCCACAGAAAGCCTTGTTTCGATGTAAGCAGACGTGTGTGCAAGGTTTTTTAAAATTATTACACACTTTATAGGAAAATGACCTCTAGTTACCTTCATGGATGGTCAGTTCACTACTGAGATCTTGATGCATTTCTCTTATGACATGATTATGTGTAACTTGTATACAAGGCCCGTTTAAGTATAAGAGGCTAAATAAATATTATTACTATTTATCTTTGGAAAATCATACTATTCTGGTATGGACAATGACTCTGTCCAAGTTAGTGGAATACATTACAGAATGGATGGTGACCATGTAAGGCAGGTAGGTCTTCGTAAGTTCACAGATGACAAAACTGGAGTGTAGGCCCTGTCCCTGTTTGCCACTGATAAGAAAGACTTATCAATGACCAACTGAATTGTTAGGCAGCAAATGTGTCCCATCTGAGAAGCCCGAAGAAAATGGTTTTCCTATCTTGTTTGGGAATCTTATTTTGTAGTGAGAAAGCCTTTAGAAAACAATCCAATGTCAATAAACCGAAAACAACACTTCTCAATAAACTTTACAATTCATGCAAGGGTCCAAGGTTACCTATAGGTGGCAAATTATAATGGTGAAAAGGAGAAAAATGAAGACTTATTCTCCAAAGTTTAGTCAACAGGGACATCCAAATAACTGGATCTATTTTCACTGCAGAACTTCAAAAGTTATTTTACCTTCAGATAATGTATTTTAGCAGCAAATGATAGGTGACAAAGGATCCATTTTAGCAAGAGAATGAAAAAGTAAAAGAAAACTGCTTTTACTGATTCATATAAATCCAACTACCTTATATAGTAATCTTCACAGTCCTTACTTTGCTGACTTCAGTTAGGTACTCAACAAGCACTTCCCTCACGGTTATGCAGTGGCTTGAATAGTTTTATTACCAAAGGAAATAAAAACTAAATCTTCAGTTTTCTCCAGAAGTACTTGGGAGGAATAAGATCCTTTACTTCTCGCTCATTAAAGCACCCATCCATTTATTTTGCAACACCACACAGATACTTGAGTCAATGAAACCACGATTAAAAAAAAAATTGGTGTGTGTGTGTGTGTGTGTTTGTGTAAAAGGCAGTATCAAAATTTTAACAGGTCCAACTAAGGATGATTCCTTTATATACTGCTAGATACTATAAAACACTTCACATTAGATAGTCCTATATGATTCAGTATGTTTAAAGATGGGAGAAGCCAAAACAATTAAAAAATGTCTTTAAAATTACAAACGTTTTTAGATTTGTGGGGAAAGCAGATGTGCACAGAAAAAAAACCCACCATAACACTTCTCTGGCATGGTGTTGCAAATTTCATGTATACTCAACGCATTTCTTATACACAAGAACTGCATAACTAAACTAACCTCGGTCTGCGGTCACAATCCTTTGGTAAGGATGGACACGCATATCGTGCCTTCGAACTTTAGTAGCCACCGCACCTAGTTAAATTGCAATTACCAAGACAAAGTTAGAAGACATTCATTTAAAAAAAAAAGTAAAACAAAAAACACCACAAAAAAACCCAAGAAACAAAAACAAAAAAAACAAAAACAACCCCCCCCCAAAAAACACAAACAAACAAAACCACAACCCCAAAACAAACATTAACAGCAGGTTTATCAAAATGGATGTTCATTTACTACAAAAATTCATTTCAGGAAAGAAAGAAACAAGTTAAGGCACAGTAGCTTTAAAACTTAATTATAATATGTAGAATATATCTGTGTATACTAATATTGCATTCATTTCAAACATTCTGGCCTTAACCTGTTTTATCCATTCATTTATGATTCCCAAATTACAGTATTTCATGAAATCTATTAGACCCAAGCACATTTAAGCTTTACTAGTCACATATTCACTGAAGTGCCTTTCTTGGCGCAGGACTAATTAAATAATGCCATATTTAATACTGACAAGTATTTGCTAACCTTAAGACCACTTCCAGTTTCTACCACTTAGAAAAGTTTAAAAGCAATTCTTAAAGCCTACAGATTGTGGTTTTAAACTCTGAGTCAATAAGTATGAACTGCAATGAATTAGGTGATTAGTAAAGCAAACAGTATAGAACACTTAGCAGTCAGTTTACTACTATACACTCCTTTATAAATTACAGCTACTTTTTCATAGTACAGACTAAACCAAATTAATAAGCATAATTTTATTTTATATCTATGTGCAAAAAGTGCAAGTAAGTCACTGACTGCTAGGCTAAGCTTTTTTTTTTTCCTCCAAGGCTGCTGAAACTAAGCATTTGTTAAATTCAGATCAGATGAGGGTTCAGTTAAGACCGTTCTTGAATTTCTTAGCCTTTCGTTGGGAAAGCCATACCTAAAGATAAAAGGAAGGGAATTAAAAATTAGTCATCAATGAAGATCTGATGCGATGCTACTACCAATCTCCTCACTACCACCAACACACACGTCTGCATCTGTTTTGAAGGGCACTGCTTATTTTAAAGTATTTTAACATGAAAATTGACATACATGCATGTTATCTGTGTGCATATGGGTTAAAGACTCAGCAATGTTTTAAAAGTTTACTGGTTCTCTTCAATGTGTTTTACTGCTTAGACGGCAAAGTATGAACAAAAACAAGTAATTTCAAAATAACCTATATTTAAGTTTTCATTTAATATTTCATTTAATTCTTATTGAATCCTTACTCTTACTTACTGGATATATGCCAATCAGGTGAGAACATCTTTATCCAAAGTTAGCAATTTGTTTAAGTTTTGTTTACAGTGAAAACAACCACCAAAACAAAAAACCAACCCCAAACTCCTATCCCCCCTCCCAAAATAACATTCCCAAAGAACACTGCTCAATTTGCTAAATTCAGAAACACTATTTGCTACACTGTCCTTTGCTATTGCTAAGCAGTAAAATGTTTTGTTATAATTTCTTTACTTTAGATGACCTAGTCACATAAAAGTAGATTCTACATGAACTAATCATGCCTACCTTTCTTAACTGCTAGAACAATAGTGGGTGGCTAAGAGCTACACTCCTGCAGGAAAGCCCACATGAGCAAAGTTTTGGTTTTTTTTAAAAAATTAACAGATGCTGTGGGTGCCAGCAGAGAGGAGTTCTGGGTAGAAAAAGAGCATGCATGGGATTATAGGGCAAGATATTAATAAAAAGGTAAAACTTTAAAAGGGTTAAATGTTACAGGTTATTTTGAAAATGCTTCAAGAAATGTGCAATAGAAAATAAGCCTCTTATGAACAGCTCTGTGGTGTGATTCTAACCAGTGAGTTATTTTATACAATGTTTTAGTAATGAATGGAAAACACACGCATGATAAAAAAGTTTTCTAAAACAAAAGGCACATTTGTGCACATACACACAGATAACAGAGCATCTTGTCTTCACATATTTAGCAATAAATTTGTCTTAACAAGCTAATGACTTTGAATCTGAGTGTCCAGTGATCATTAGAGACTTTCAGAATTTGTAATCAATACTAATGCTGAAAAAAAAAAACTTTAAAGTTCAAATTCCTATAAATCAACAGCACGCATGCAGCACCATGGTCATATACAATTCAAGAAAGGAAAAAAAAAAAAAAACACCAGGAAAAATTATTCAGATTCTGTTTGGTAAAACAAAAGGGTTGCATTCAAAGAGTTTGTTCCACATTGACTGGTCGTGTTATAACGGCTGCTGTATTCTAGTCCTTCATCCAGCAAGTCAATGGGCTGAAATATCAGGCATGACTGGCATTTCAATCCACTCTATAAAAAAAAGGCATCAGTAATGTCTCTGAGCACACCACTTTTTGTTCATGTCTTGCAGTTTTTAACCAAGTGTAAATTACTACAGTTTTTATTTTTGCTTAAAAGTATCATTCAGGGGTCAATGACATAGTTTTTATTCAATTCTATATGGTACCACAGCAATTAAAAGCAGCATTTACTTTTCAGTGTTAGCAAGGACTTCATACAAGAGAGAAAGATCTATAAATCTTTTAGAAGAATGGAATATCTGATAATTATCAGATCATTCTTTAAAATATTAAAAAATAAATGTAAGACATCATAATAAAATGTTATAAAATACTTCCATTTTATAGTTTACAGAACTATATTAAAATATTTCCAAAGGAAATGATACGTAATGTAACTTAAATTTTAGAAAAAAATAAAAAAACAAACCAGCAATTCTAAAATTAGTTTGTTCAAAATGCATGTGATGTGATCAGTTTAAATAAAATATATAGAGTAATTTTGAAAAATTGTACTATAGTTATCCAAAAAGTAGAACTTAAATAGGATAGAGCTAAAAACTTAAGTCAATGTTCTTTTGTAATGGAACCTTTTAATGAATTCTTCATTTGACCTGTTATAACACTTTCAAAGTTACATGTTGGGAAAAAATGGAATACAGTCTTTTGTAAAGTGATCAAGAGCTAAGCTAATCAATTCAGGAGATAAACTTACCTAATACACCACTAGGTTCAATAGGATACTCAAGGATTGACGTAGCTGGTGCCAGTGTGTAAGGGTACTCGTAGGGTGTGTAAATTAAACCAGCCTCAGGTCCTGGAGGAACTATTGCAGCAGTTGGATGAGGAGTTCCGTTTGGCATGACAGCGGTCTGTATTTGTCTGATCAAAGGCATTATGGTAGGGCCAGCTGGCGTAGGAGTACGCAGGGCAGCTGGTGGGAGAACAGGCGCAGGCCCAGTAATAATCCTTGGGGCCTGGGCTGTTGCTGCAAGAGAAAAGGCAAGGGCTGCTACAGTAAGCAAAGAAATTTAGAAGGAAGTATAGAGACAGCAGTACAAAATATGGAAAGAATGAGGGGGAATGGGGAAAAGAAAGGAAAAAAGCAGGAAGGAAGAAAAATAAAAGGAAATCATTAGTACATGCGCTGATCACACAAAGTGCCAAAGCACACCAATCAAATGCACAAATAGCTTACCCTTTCCCAGTGAGATTAAGAATAAACATGCAAAAATAAAAAAGCCATCAAAAAGGTAAGCTAGACTAACAGGTTACAGAGCACAAAAGCTTCTTTTAGTTCACATATTTAATTTACCTATGCTTTTAAAGACTGCATGAGACTAAGATGCATGCAGGAGGGCAAAAGGAAACACTATTACATATTTAGAGTATGAAAAATATCTTGTAATTAAGAGTTTACAGAAATATAGTTATGTGTAAGTATTTGTAAATACCAGCCTAGGACTCAACTTGGAGAAAGACTGACTTTCTTCAGGTTGAAGTAAGCCAAGCTCTCAGTAGACAGATATAATTTCTAGCAGCTGCATTAGTTGATTACTTCTTACAGAAGTAATCTAAAAGGTCCTAATTGTGCTTCTATGAATATTATTCTAACCCTTTCAGAAGTAAATTCAAGTGAATTTTGTTGCAAACCAGAATTACTTTCAAACAGTTGTTAACTACACATTTTACTCATTTAATAGATTTCCCCCCCAGTTCTCCTTTTGCTTTGTCATATGAAACTATAAAACGTTGTGCATGTACTTAGCCTACATACCATCACTATGAAACTCAATGATCATTTTCAAATGAAAATTAAACATCCTTATAGCATGCTCAAATACATAAAAAGGAAAATGTGAATGAAAAGGTATCACAACCACTAATTTCTGTGAGCTCTCACATGAAATCAATAGCCAAAAAAAAAAAAAAAAAAAAAAAAAAAAAGACGGAAGACATGCAAGGAAGATGACAGGAAAGAATTTAATATCAAGTTTCATTCAGACAAACTTCATTATCTATAAAGTTGAAAATACATTATATATGTGTGTGTATGCATGTACATATATGTAAGTGTGTATGTATATTTGGAGTTATAAATTAACATCAAACTGTTATTTATGAAGTAGGAATTCAAGTTTAGAGCTTGAACTTACAAGGAAAGCAAAAAAAATATATTTTAAAATACCATAACACAAGACATGTTGGCATGATAATGTAAATAGAAGGTTCTTAATTTGCAAAAGGATTAAAGATGGTAGTGTTAACTCTGTACCAAATGCACAATTGTTTCAATAGATCTTCTACTATTCATATATACTCCTGCTAAAAGGAAAAAGGTTTGTTGACAAAAACAGCAGAAACAGCTATTATACTGGGCTAGTCTAATCCTTACGTGATTTAATGTTGGCATCTCTGTAGGTGCCATTCAGAATTGCAAGTTCCATCAGCTGCATCTTCTTAAGGCTGTCTTCTCCTTCTGCCTACATAGGTGAAAAATAGAAGAGCATTTATTATTTCAAAATAGAGCATTTAGTTCATTAGAATAATTTGTGCCAATATACTTTTGATAGATAAACATTGATTGTTAAATGCAGGTATGCTTGAAAATTTTTTTGTTCTACTGGGCACCAGGGGTTTAGAGAAAAAGGGCACTTAATGCATGGGAAATAGATTCTACACTACAGCAATGTTCAATTTCTTAATGTTCGTTTTAAATATTTACTTTGATGACATAAATGATGACATTAAACTCACATGCAGTGTTATTTTCTTTGGCATCATTTTACTCATTCATTACATAAAAAGGCAAATATTATCAAGAGATTCAGAAAAAGAATGATTAATTTCAACCTACAGAATGATATTAAAACATTGCAATAAGCATTTTTGTCTTCATTTGCTTAGTAAAAAAGCCCAGTTGAATGCCTATAAAGATCAGAAATCAAAATTCACATATATTTATAGAGTTTCAATTCAATTTGCTTATCAAAAGCTTCAAGTTTACCTAAATAAAATAGAAATACTAAATTTTTAGTTCTCATTGAAATACTCCTCCCCTCCTCCAATCATTTGTTAATTGCATCACCATCCTTGTCTTTCTTACTGTTGCATCCCTGCTACCACCTTAGTTCATTACCTCTTCTGTGAACTCCTAAAATAGCTTTTGTTTTTTAGTTTATCTATTTCCCATAGCACTACCAGAATAATGATTCTCTTTAAAACATTTGAAGAATCCATACTACCTACCAAATAAAACCAGGAATTCAAAATCCTTCACATGCTCACCCCAACTTACCTTTACAGACTTTCAACCTGTTTATACCCTACTACAGGCCAATCAAATTTGACTACTTGAGGTACCCAAACACATGTCAATGTCCTCTTTGGTTATTATTCACTGATTTCCTTAGCAGCAAGTCACAAGCTCATACATAGGTATTTAGACCTGGTAGGGACTTTTGATCATGGAATTCAAACTACTCAGTTTACAGATGAGCACAAGTGGCCAGAGGTGACGTGACTTGGCCAAGGTCACAAAACCGTGTATTGTTGTTTTTAAACTTTTCTGTACCACAAGGTATATTTAGTTCTGTTTTACAGTCCCCCCCACCCCCAACCAGATTGTTCAGAGGTCAGAGACTATGTCAATAACCTTTATGTTTCCTAACACACCCATTTTGCACACAGTGGGATATTTATTGAATAATACTAATTTAATAATAATACATAGCATTCTTTTTTTTTAAGCATTTTAAGCTTTGCAAAACACTATATATATTACTTCATGTGATCTCACAACCCAGGGAGGGAAGTGCTATTATTATCTCCATTTTTTGCAGATGAGGAAACTGAAGCAAACAGAGGCTAAATGAATTGCCCTGTGCAATTAAGTACTAGAGGCAGGATTTGAACTCAAGTCCTTCCTGCTTCCAAATTTTATTTATAATTCTTTAATAATTATTAATGACATGAAAGCTTAGGAGAATTCCTAATTACATAATGAAAGATTATACTTTTTGAGCCTCTAAAATTTCAAGCCTAAACTTAAAACTATGTGCCATAAAGCTTAATTCTGGGCAGCAGATGGTAAAAGGACCTAATTGAACAAGTCACTTACTTACAAGAAGTAAGTAAAGTCAAGATAAATGTTTCCTCCCTCATCTGTTGTAAAGGCTGTTCTCTACTGTTCCTTAAAGAGGAGATGCAGGAAGGCACCAAGTAGAAATACCTGGGAGTAAAACCTATATATTCCCTGATAAAGAGGACTCAGTATGTGTAGAGTATCATTTAAAGCAATATAATATAAAAATACATTTAAAAATATTATTTGTTTTTCTTAATTCAGGTAAGGGATCGAGGAGATCGAGGAGAACAAGAGGGAATATAAATACCAGAACTTCCTTTTGCATGAAAACTCATGGAAAATAAAATCCAGTGGATGTCATATTAAAACTATCTACCACTTTTAAATGGTAGGCTAAAAGAGGTGACAAAAAGTGACAAAAGACTATGTCATAAACATAATGTTGAGTGTGTTTTACCAACTAATTCTAACAAATGTCCTATAGGGTCAATGATATCTAGGCTAGTTTCCTATTTATCTGTTAGGATATTTTATTTATTATTTTAAAAATCCTACAACAGTACTCTGTTGCCTATTCTCAAAGAGTTATGGAATATCTTATAGAATCTTTATGAGATAAAAAGTGCACCTTTCACTTAACTTGATAAGGTCATAAAGTAAACATGGCATTAGTCTCAATAACTAAATGCATAATTTGAAAAACCTGTGTTGTAGAAACAGTACAACAACAAAAAAACCCCCACTAGTTTTTCAAAATGCTTTAGTGAAACATGATGTTGTTCATTACCATGAAGCTTTATACTTCATTATAATGAAACCACTGTAAAAATAAACTTCTAAATTTATCAATGACCACTAAATTCCCATGATGCCCTGTTCCACTTCAGTTTCTCACATATATGCTCATATCTTTTATCCTGGTATCAACTTCACTTCTTTGTTCTATGATCACAATCTTTTCCTGCGTCTTATGATGTCTAACCCTGATCTTTGTCCTCACAGTAGCTGCTTCCATTCCTTCTATCCTTTACTTCTTTCCTAGGTTATAACTTCTGGACTTCCCATACTCTCAATTCTTTCCAATTTCAACCCCTTGGTGAATCACTTTAACTTGACCACATCCTCCATCCTTTGTCCTATTTGTTAAACAAGCCATGCTAAACCCCAACCCTGGATAACTTGTAACCAACTACCTTCTATTGATGTGTTGCTACATGAACCAATAGTAAATAATGAAATTGTGCTGAATGGGTTCACTATAAATTTATTTTTATCTAATCTCTACTGGATCCTCATGGCTTCAAAAGTCAAATACTAGATTTCTCCCCTAAATCAGCTAATGTTAAAAGGCTATTCCAAACTTCTTTTTGTCACAGGTCCCCCTCCCCACCATCTTTTTTTTTTTCCGGTGAGGTAATCGGGGTTAAGTGACTTGCCCAGGGTCACAAAGCTAGTAAGCGTCAAGTGTCGGAGGCCGGATTTGAACTCAGGTCCTCCTGACTCCAAGGCTAGAGCTCTATCCGCTGTGCCACCGAGCTGCCCTTCCCACCATCTTCTTAACTAAAGATTTCACTTCATACTTAAATTTAAAAAAAAAAAAATTGAGGATATTTGCTGAACGCTTCCTTCTATAATTTTCCTCATCTCATCTTATTCAGCTCTCTTCTCCCACTATCTCCTCTTTCTTTCAGATGAAGAATTGGGTTCCTCTTATCCAAGCCAAGCCCTCTACAAGTGATATTAAATCTATCACTGTCTTATCAAGCAGATTGCCCCACATTATCATCTTCTTTCTCTCTCTTTCTTCCTTTTGGCACCTTCTGTGCTGTCTATATACACTCATCTCCCCATTCTTAAAAACAAAACAAAACAAACATAATTAGATCCTATCATTGCTGTTAGTTATCATCCTGTATTTCTCCTCCCCTTCATAAATCCTCTTCTTTACATAATAACAGCAAATATTTATGTAGCACTTCTTATGTGCCAGGTGCTATGCTAAGCACTTTACAATTATCATCTCATTTGATTCTCACAACAACCTGGTGCTACTGTTACCCCCATTTTGCAGTTGAGGAAACTGAGCTAACGGGGATTAAGTGACTTGTTGAGGGTTGCCTGGCTAATAAGTGTCTGAGGCAAGAAGTCTTCCTGACTCTGGGACCCAAACTCTTATCCACTGCACCACCTAGCTGCCCCATTGAAAGCCATCTACACTCAGTGCCTTTATTTATTCTCACTCTGTTATAGCCCTCTGAAATCTGGCTTCAGATGCTGTCAATTCAGTTGAAACTCTCTCCAAAGATAGTACTGATCTTTTAATTGCTACATCTAATGGCATTTTCTCCAATTTGATTATCCTGGCTCTCTCTACAACATCTGATTCTGCTGATCACACCTTCTGGATATTCTTTCCTCCGTGGGTTTTAGTAACACTATTTTCTTCCATTCTCTTATTTGTCTTATACTCTTTCACTGGTTCTTCATTGAGTTCATATTTACTAATCATAGTGTCCTTCAAAGCTCTATCTCTGGACCCTCCTTTCTCTCAATTATCTCACTTGATCTTACTGGCTCCAAGGGGAAAATTACTATTTCCATTCAGATGATTTTCGTACAGACATAGCTCTCTCAAGCTATAGTCACACATCTCTATCTGCCTCTAAGATATCTAGAATTAGATGTCTCACTAATATCTCAAACTAACTCAAATACATATATATATAAAACATATGAATAAAATAAAATATGTATAATAAAAATATATCTTTCACTGACCTCATTACCTTATAACCACCCACAATACTCCCCACTTCTAAACTTCCCTATTATTGCTACCACCATCTTCTCGCTCAGGACTGCAACCTTGGTGTAATCTTTGACTCTTCAATCTCACTCATAAATCCACTGCAAAATTTTGTTGTTTCTACCTTCCAAAATGTCTCTCATTTATGTCGTCCTCTCTCTACTGATAGCCAAAACCCAAATTTAGGGTCCTATCACCTCTTGCCTGGAATATCACAATAGCATTCAAATTGGTCTCCATACCGCAAATCTCTCCCTACATCAAAACACTACTCAGCTGGCAAAGTGACATTTCTAAAGCATAAGTCTGACCATTTCACCTCCACTGTTCAAGAAGCTCCAGGGAATCTCTACTACTTACAGAATAAACACATTCCCATGTCCCATTTGAGATATAAGGCTCTTTATAACTTGGTCCCTCCTAGTCTTTTCACAATATACTCTCCCTCCAATTCAGCAATAATGGCCTGCTGGCAGCACCTTGAACATGAAACTCTATCTATTGTTTCTTACTGCTAATAAAATATTAGATTTCATTAAGTATATACTAAGTGTGAAAGGTGAAAGACTATGGTTATGAGATTCTTAAAA